AAGATTCCTGCTCCCTGCTCATTCTTGGAGTGTCTCTCATGCTGTCTTTACTTCTCTCACCCTTTCCCTGTGATAATGTGCTGAAACACGGCCATACTTGGGCTTCACATGTCACTGGGGACATGAAAGCAAACAAGCTACAACTACCTGAAAGGAGGTTGTGGTGAGGTGGGAGTCGGTCTCTTCTCCCAAGTAACAAGCGATAGGATGAGAGGAAATGGCCTCAAGCTGTGCCAGGGGAGGTTTAGATTGGATATTAGGAAAAATTTCTTCACAGGAGTGTCCAAGCATTGGAACAGGCTGCCCAGAGAGGTGGGGGAGTCCCCATCCCTGGAGGGGTTCAAAAAACGGGCAGAGGTGGCACTTTGGGACATGGTTTAGTGGGCATGGGGGTGTTGGGTTGATGGTTGGACTGATGATCTTAGAGCTCCTTTCCAACCTTAATGATTCCTAGTTTTACTTTCATTAAAAAATAATCCAGCCACCAAGCCAGGAAACATGAAATTGCTACTCTGCCCTTAATTGGTTTAGTGTGGACTTGGCAGTGTTGGGTTAATGGTTGGACTGGATGATCTTAAAAGGCTTTTCCAACCTAAACGATTCGATGTTTCTATGATTCTAAGTCCTTTCCTTTGACAGAGTTGGGGGAAGCCGTACTTGTGAGCACGCAGTGCAGTTTCAGCTCAGCCCCGCAAGGGCCGCTCTGGCTCTCGGGGCTGTAGGCTGGTGTGGATCTGGGCAGCCCTGTGTGTGCTGAAAGCATGAGGTGGACTGAGCTGCAGCTTCCCCTGCCTGGCTGGAGGGCTTCTGCGGGCTCCAGCAGGTTGGGTTAGAGCTCTGCTTTCCTCTGCTCCTGCTAGAAGGCACTTCACCTCCTCCTGAAGCACTCGGCAGACGTCAATGCCCGCGACAAGTATTGGCAAACGCCTCTGCACGTCGCCGCTGCCAACCGGGCCACCAAGTGCGTGGAGGCCATCATCCCCCTGCTGAGCACTGTCAATGTCGCGGACCGCACGGGCCGCACGGCGCTGCACCACGCCGTGCACAGCGGCCACCTTGAGGTGGGCGAGGAGGGTTTGGGCGCAGGGGGTCCCACGTACGTCCCCCTTCCTGGGTCTGGGCTTTGCAGGTGCCGAAGGCGCCTGTGCCTGCGCAAGCAGGGAGGAATGGCAGCCTTGCCTCTCTCACTGCTTCTCCCCATCTAGATGGTGAACCTGCTGTTGAACAAAGGGGCCAGCCTGAGTACTTGCGACAAGAAGGACCGCCAGCCCATCCACTGGGCAGCTTTCCTAGGTAGGTTTTCCCCACGAGCATCGTTCCGGTTTCTGAACAAAGCATCTCTCCTATGAGGAAAGGCTGAGACAGCTAGGACTGTTCTGCCTAGAGAACAGAAGGTGCAGGGGGATCTTCTTAATATATATAAATACTTGAAGGAAGGTGTAAAGAAGATGGAGCCAGGCTCTTTCCAGTGGTGCCTTCTGACAGGACCAGAGGCAACAGCACAAACTGAAACACAGGAGGTTCCCTCTGAACATCAGGAAACACTTTTTTTGCGGTGAGGGTGACTGAGCACTGGTACAGGTTGCCCAGAGAGGTGGTGGAGTCTCCACCCTTGGAGATATCCAAAAGCTGTCTGGGCACGGTCCTGCGCAGTTTGGACCAGATGACCTCCATAGGTCCCTTCCAACCTCAACCAGTCTGTGATTCCGTGATTCTTCTCCCACGTTGCTTGCTGCCGATGGATTCACCTTTCAGGGTGGTGGGGCTCCCCAGAGGCCACTGTGCCCAGGTCTCTGTTTTCCGGGGTCCCCTGGCTCTTACCGTTGTCTCCCGGACAGGGCATTTGGAAGTTCTGAAGCTGCTGGTGGCCCGGGGAGCTGATGTGATGTGTAAGGACAAGAAGGGCTACACCCTGCTGCACACTGCGGCAGCCAGCGGCCAGATCGAAGTCGTGCGTCACCTGCTGAGGCTGGGAGTCGAGGTAAGACCCCCGCGGCCATGAGCAGGGTGGGCTCGGGTGCAGGCCAGTCTGGAGACAGGAGTAGGAGAGGGTGCTGGGTGGTGGCAGGAGCCCTCGCTGGTTCTCAGCTGCCTTTTTTTTTTTTTTCCTAAATCCCCAAATCCTCTGGGGTTTGTTGCTCCCACAGATCGATGAACCAAATTCCTTCGGTAACACTGCACTTCACATTGCCTGTTACATGGGCCAAGATGCCGTGGCCAACGAGCTGGTCAATTACGGCGCCAACGTCAATCAGCCTAACGAGAAGGGCTTCACCCCTCTGCACTTTGCTGCCGTCTCCACCAATGGGGCCCTGTGCCAATCCTCTGGGGTTTGTTGCTCCCACAGATCGATGAACCAAATTCCTTCGGTAACACTGCACTTCACATTGCCTGTTACATGGGCCAAGATGCCGTGGCCAACGAGCTGGTCAATTACGGCGCCAACGTCAATCAGCCTAACGAGAAGGGCTTCACCCCTCTGCACTTTGCTGCCGTCTCCACCAATGGGGCCCTGTGCCTAGAGCTCCTCGTGAATAACGGGGCCGATGTCAACTTTCAGGTCTGGCGCCGAGGGCTTGAGCTTGGGGATGGGGGGAGCGGGGACCCGCTGCCCGAGGGAGGAGCTCAGGGAGGGTGGTGGGAAGCCTGATGCGATGGCGTTTCTGCTCTCCGCAGAGTAAGGAAGGGAAGAGCCCTTTGCACATGGCTGCCATTCACGGACGGTTCACGCGTTCGCAGATCCTCATTCAGAACGGTGAGTAGCTTCTTCCTCCAGCCCTGGCTTACCCCAGCCTTCTCTTGTGCTTCTCAGCACCTGCCTCCCGGACCTCCCTGTGTGTTTGCTTGGAGGGTTTAAGAGCTCTACAATTATCACTCAAATTCACTCTCTGCTCCTGGGGCTGTTGCCAGCGGCCCTGTGCTGCTCGGGGGTGGCAGGGAGCATACGTGCCCTCAAGGGCAGCGAAGTGCAGACCAGGGGACTGAAATTCCAGCCAGGTCAGAGCTGCCGTGGCCAAAGAACTGCCACGTCCAGCCTGAAAGACAATATTCTTGTAAGACGGCTGCAGGCTGGCAGACACCCCAGGAGTTCAGCCGGAGACCTCCGGGGCTGAACGCATCCCATCCTGGGGCGAGAGGGAGAGACCTAATGCCCTGGGTTTGCAGGATACGAGTGGGCTCTCAGCTCAGAGAGCAGTGTACAGCTCTCCTCCTGCACGATGCTGAATGGACTCGAGTTGTTAGCCATGTCCCTGAGATGGGGACGTGGCCGTCGGAACAGTCTGGGCTGCTCGGGACTGGAAGGCAGAGACCCGCTGGCAAAACACTTGGCTTTTCCTTTCTAGGCAGTGAGATTGACTGTGCTGACAAATACGGCAATACCCCCCTCCACGTTGCTGCTAGATATGGCCACGAGCTGCTAATTAGTACTTTGATGACGAATGGTGCTGACACTGCAAGGTAAGGAAGGACTCTTCCTCCCTTTCCCTGCCCTGGGCTGGAGGATGCAGGAATGGTCCGGTCTGACTCCTTTCTTGTCTCCTGGCAGGCGTGGGATCCACGACATGTTCCCTCTGCACTTAGCTGTTCTCTTTGGATTTTCAGACTGTTGTCGTAAGCTACTTTCCTCAGGTGAGTGGCTGGGCTGCCCCTCCTGCGGCGGGAGCAGTCGGGGGAGCCTCGAGCACCTCCCTGACTCCCTGCCCCTCCTGCCATCCCAGGTCAGTTGTACAGTATCGTCTCCTCGCTGAGCAACGAGCACGTGCTGTCTGCAGGCTTCGATATCAACACGCCTGACAACCTCGGGAGGACTTGCCTCCACGCTGCTGCTTCTGGAGGGTGAGCTGTGCATGGGGCGCTGGTCCCACGTTGCGTGCGGGAAGGTCGCTGCCTGCCCCCAGCCCAAACCGTAACCCTCCCACCCACCCGTGAGCTGCAGCGTGGGCAGCCCAGTGCAGCGCTTTGGTCAGGACTGGGAGTCGGACCCCTGGGTGCCGTTCCCGGCTCAGAGACAGAAGGGAGACCTGTGTTCAGCGCAGGAATGAAAATGGAAACCTTTTGGCCCTGTTCTGCTGCTGACTCTGTGACTCATCCCAGTCGCTCCCCTCCATGGCTGTTTACCCATCTTTAAAATGGGGCTAAAATGCTTCCTTGGCTGGGGGTTCGTGATGGGCTCACAAGCTGATGCCTGAAAAGCAGCAGGGATTTAGCTGGCTGTGTAAATGCCTCGTATTGTTTGCCAGGGAGTTTGATTTCACGCGACGCGTCGAGAGCGAACGTGGCTGCAGCGATATGGCAGAGGTGTAGGGTCCCGTCAAGGACCTTGTTTCTGTTATGTCTGTACGATGCTTGAGAGCCAGTCACGGAGCCGTCCTTCGGCATCGCAGCGCTGTCACCCTGCCTGAGCGGTGGGGACAATGCACTGACGCAGAAGCCAGAAATCCTAGATCTTTTTTGTAGCATAAAATCCAGTGCGTCAGCTGCACTAATGCCATAGCTAATGTCTTTCTGTAATTGCCTGGTTGTTTGAGAGCTCCATGCAGCGCACGATAGCGCCGGTAAGGCAGGAAGCATGAAGGGTTATTTCACTGGAGAGCAGGGAAGAGCTTTGTGTATGCAGCTTCCAGCCACGGCTGCGGCTCTTACGCTGCCCAAAGATGACAAACTAAATTGAGCTTCGGCACGTCCAGGCTGTGTGGGTGAGAAGCGTAGCTGTCTTGTCTGCAACTAGGAGGAGTTTGTGTTCCTGCCGTGGTCCCTTCTGGTCTGTGTCTAACTCGTCTCCCTCCCTCCTTGTAGGAACGTTGAATGTCTTAATTTGCTGTTGAGCAGCGGTGCTGACTTGAGGAGGAGAGATAAATTTGGAAGGTGGGTGTGCTGTGGGCCTTGCAAGGGAGCAAGGGTGATTCCGCCAGCCCTAAACCAGCTGGAGCCCATGAGCCTGGGTTTGGGTTGGGATGTTCCTAACACCTTTGCTGCATTTGGTGTCTAAATCCGCTTCCTTCACCCCCTCTCACCCCAAGGGGTGCAGCTCTGGCTCTTCAGAAGGAGCTGCTAACCCAAACCCTTGAGCCAGAGCAGGGTGCAGCTCGCTCCCTGCGTCCTGCCTTGCTGCTGGGCAACTTTCTCCGTCTGTGACAGGCAGTGCTGCTAAGCCCCCTTGTCCTTTCCCCCTTCCCAGGACTCCACTGCACTACGCAGCTGCCAACGGCAGCTATCAGTGTACGGTGACGCGGGTCACAGCAGGAGCCAGTATTAACGAGGCTGACTGTAAAGGCTGTACCCCCTTACACTATGCTGCTGCTTCGGACACGTACAGGAGGTGAGCATCATGGGGGGCGCGCGCTCCTCGCTGCTGGGGCTGGGGACGATGGCACGCTGCTGGGCGGTGATGCTCTGCTGTTCCCTGGCCACCTCCCTGCGGCTGGCGCTCGGTGGTTTGCGAAGAGGGGAGCGCTTTGAGGAGCGTGGGTAGGAGCGGGGGGTAATCAGCAAACTGATGCAGCTCTGTGACCTTTCAGAGCAGAGACTCATTCAGGAAACAGCCATGACACTGATGAGGAGCCACTGAAGGAGTCCAGGCTGAAGGAGGCATTCTTGTGAGTCCGCACCCCAGCCCCATCTGGCAGTTGTTTGTTGTTTACCCGTTCCCTGGACCCCTGCATGCAGTCGCTAGAAATAGCTTGCTTCTGCTTACGCCGAAGTGAGCAGTGATGCCTTGGAGGAAACATGGGCTGATATGATTCTCGAGGCAAACCTGGCCATCGCTTCCTGGTCCTTGCTTCCAGTGGGCTTTGCGTGCGCTCCGCATCTTGAGGGGATTAGTACAGCATCTGCTATGGGATCAAAGCTGGGGGGGGGGGTCCCTGCAAAGCTCTGCCTCTCCGATCTCCCCTTTCTCTTCATCTTCCCTTTCTCTTGCTCACTGCAGTTGTTTAGAGTTCTTGCTGGATAATGGTGCTGACCCATCCCTCCGGGACAAGCAGGGATATACCGCTGTCCACTATGCAGCTGCGTACGGCAACAGGCAGAACCTCGAACTGGTGAGTGAGCCGGAGAAAACCCCCCGTGCTGCCAGGAGACGGGGGGAGGTCCCCCCTAAGGAACGTGTCGGGCCCTACGGTGTCCAGGTGTGGCTAAAGGACTGCATGTGTTGTAGGCACTACGGCGTCAGGGTTTGCCCAGGAGGAAGGGAGGTGGGTTTGATTAAAAAGCATGGGGACTCTTGGGGAGCTGTCGTGTGAGGAATGCCACAGAGGAAAGACCTGGGCCTGAGTGAGATGCCCGAGAGAAAGGAGCTTTGTTACCCGGCACAGGGTGGCATACGGATGTCTTGTTTAAATCCCTGGCAATAGAGCAAGGTTGGGCTTTTAAAAGAAAGCCTGGAGACCTGTGCCAAGGAAGAGCTTTTGCAGTACAGAAAGTGCCTTGTAACTGTCTGAAATGCCTGCATTGTTGCAGGGTAAGCTTGCAGCCACGTGGGTATAGGAAATCATATGAGTATTCTGGATCATATGAGCTTCTGGATAGCAGGGACTTGATGTGCCTGTCTGTGCAGGGCCCAAAGCCAGGTTAAGGAAGGTCCCTTCCTGAAATTCAGATCATTCTGAAGCAGATGAGCAGGTTTTCTAACCCCTCTGCAGCCTGCTGGTGGACAGAGTGTCCGTCAAAGCCTCCGTGAGTCCAGGGTCAGTTATGGTTTTGTCTTGTTGCTGTTTGCAGCTCCTGGAAATGTCTTTTAACTGCCTGGAGGATGTGGAAAGCACCATTCCAGTCAGCCCTTTGCACTTAGCTGTAAGTACAGCTGGCCCAGCCCCGGGGTTGCGGAGGGCGCTTGGCTCCGTGCGGGCTTCACGCTGAGCCCTGGAGAGGTGCCCGCTCCTGGGCAGCGCGGGCTGGGCCCCTGCAGCTGTGGGTGCTGAGCGGGGCAAAGGAGGAAAAGCACCGGTGGCTGGGGAGCGGCTTTCCCCATAGACCGTCGGTCAAAGTCCCTTTGATCTGTATGTTAAACTCCGTGCTCTCTCCAGGGCTTTTTGGTTGCTGCTGTTTGGAGCCACCTCCCTTGTCTGCGTGTGGGCAGGGCCAGGCGTGGGCGCAGGCTTTGCATGGGACCGGGGTGCAAACGAGAGGCAATGGCCGGGCTCATCTGGCTGGAGGGACCCAGGGAGCAGGAATTGTCCTGGGGAGGGACTTCTGGGTGCAGCCTCTCCAGGCACTGCTTTAACATGGTCTGCTTTGTCCTCAGGCCTATAATGGTCACTGTGAAGCCCTAAAGACACTTGCCGAAACCCTCGTGAACCTCGACGTGCGGGACCACAAGGGACGGACGGCACTGTACCTCGCCACGGAGAGAGGCTCCACGGAGTGCGTGGAGGTGCTCACCAGCCACGGCGCGTCCGCTCTGGTGAAGGAGAGGAAGAGGAAGTGGACCCCTCTCCATGCTGCAGGTGACGGAGGGCGGACGGGGCTGGGGGTGGTGAGGGAGTGTGCCCAGAGCCCTTCCAGCCGTCGGTGCCGCCGCTGCCGAGGATGCTTGTCCACCCGGCTGCTGTTTGGGGAGAGGGAAGGGGCTGTGGTTTAGGACGATGCTTAGAGGCAGGATGGGGCCAGCGCAGCCTGCTGTGATGTGCCAGCAGAAGCTGCGGGTCCAAGTGGCTCAGCAGCGGGTGGGAGAGAAGACGCCAGCAGCTTCTGCGCGCACGTGCCTTCAGCTCGGCCTGCGCACGTGCTCATCAATCCTGTAGCCTAGCAACCACATAACGAATTTGCTCGGCCACGTGTGCCTGGCTGCTGGGCCCAAGCCCCTTCCTTTGGTTTGCGGCGGGGGCAAGGAGGGGACGCATCGGTACGTGTGTGTGTGTGACTCCTCCTTTCCTCGTGTGTTGTCTCCAGCTGCCAACGGGAACACTGATTCCCTGCACCTCCTGATAGACAGCGGGGAGCGGGCAGACATCACCGATGTCATGGACATCCACGGCCAGTGAGTTTGTCCGGATGTTTCTCTTGGGATCTTGCGTGGCACAGGGTCAGGCCCCTTGCAGGGTGGCTGGGACGGGGGAGAGAGGGCAGTGCTTGAACGCAGCTGATTTCCGAGCCCGCTCTCCTCTCTGCTGCCTCTTCCCCCCGCCCTGCAGAACCCCACTGATGCTGGCGATCATGAACGGCCACGTTGACTGTGTCCACCTCCTGCTGGAGAAGGGATCCACAGCCGATGCAGCGGACAAGAGGGGACGGACCGCCCTGCACCGAGGGGTGAGTGCGTCCCTGGGACCGGGGCGGGCCTGGAGCCCTGCAGCTCCTGCTTGTCCTCCTGAGCAGAGGCTGCTTCCAGAACAAGCAGGTGGTTTCTTTTTTTGCAAAAGCCCTCGGTGAAAGAGCCCATTTTCCCTTCCTGAGATGCAGCATTTGAGAAGGAAGCTGTGGAAGAAGGGCGTAGCTCTGTTGTGAAATGATTGAAGGGTGAGATCTGACCTCCTGGTCCTCTTTCCCGGCCACAGGCTGTGACGGGCTGTGAGGACTGCCTGGCTGCCCTGCTGGACCACGATGCCTTTGTTCTGTGTCGGGATTTCAAAGGCCGGACCCCGATCCACTTTGCGTCGGCATGCGGGCACTTAGAAATCCTGAGGACCCTGCTGCAGGCAGCCCTCTCTACTGACCCTCTGGACTCTGTGGTGGACTACAGCGGTTACTCACCGATGCACTGGGCTTCATACAGTGGTAAGGACCTGGGCTGCACCCCTGCCCTCCTCTGCTCTGCTCTGGCTGTTGATGGGGAGGAGGGAACCAGGCAGAGCCAGGCTATCCCTCTGTCCCCAACTGCTTTGGGAGCTGTCAGCCCAGCAGCGAGTTCAGTCTGGTGGAAGGGACTGCACAAATCTGCGAGAGAGGCAGGGAGTTTTTCTCCCCCTGCCAAGCTCCTTAAAAAAGGAATGAAATATGAAAACAGCTATTATAGAACAGCTGAGGCTGCTTCCTCCAGGACTGCTGGATTTATAGGATTCCTTGGCCGTCACCCTGGCTGCAGGGAGTGGTGGGACTGATACGGCAACAGGAAGGGATGTCTCAGCATTTCAAAGGGAAGCGAGCAATGTGGCTGTAAAGTCCTTCAGGAGATGGTGTGGAATTAGAAACCTCCTGAACTGCAGCAGCTTTGCTGCCAGAGGGGAAACAAAACCGCTGCCTCTGTGCTGGGGAACGGGTTTGTTTGGGTGCTTCGGTGCTGCTGGTGCTGTGCAGCCTCTGGGGCCTCCGGCTCTTTGGACGTGGGGACAGCCAGAGGGGCCTTCAGTCCCTTCTTGCTCTCTGAAGGCGAGGAACCGCAGGCTGGGTACTGATGTATTTCTGTCCCTCTCTCCTCACAGGGCACGAAGATTGTCTTGAATTGTTACTTGAACACAATCCATTTGCGTACCTAGAAGGAAACCCCTTTACTCCATTGCACTGTGCAGTGTAAGTGGCGCCTGCGACCTGCCCTGGGTTCTTCCCAGCCAGGTGATGTGGGAGAAGGGGACGCGTGGTCTGAGTGGAGGAGCTCCGAACCCTGCCCTTCTTACCACGGGCTCTTTCCTGGGTGGCAGCAGCTCCTCAGGGTGGTACTGCCCACTCATCCCAGCTCCCTCGTGGCAGGGAGGTGGTTGCTGGACTGCTGGAGGTTCTCAGTAAAGCAGCTGCCTCGTTGGCTGCGCGCCGCACGGCCAGGGCTGTCATGTACCAGACCCCCATGCCAGCAGGCATTCAGCTCGATGGAGCTGCCAAGGGCTGCTGGTTCAGCCCTTGCCGGCCCTCTTGGATGGCTCATCTCTGCTCTTTGGTTATGGAGCATCTCCGGAAATCTCCAGGCTTCCCGTGAGGCTCTGGAGATGGGCTCTGGTGGGAGAAGGGCTCCACGTTGTCCCAAGCCTTCTTCCTCAGAGGTGTCTGGGGCAGCATGAGGATGATCCCTGGGGTCCCACGGGGCACAGAGGGGTTTGGGGCTGACGGCGATTCCCTGGCTCTGCAGCTGGCAGAGGAAGGAGTGTGCTGCCCTGGGCAGCCGTGGAGGGATGAGGAAGGTGGAGGCATTGCCACGTTCTGCCTGGGATGGGCCTGGTGCATCCTTGGGACCCGTAGCAGCAAAGGCATGGGCCAGGCTGTTGTCTGCCATGGTACTGTGTTTTCTTGAGTAATACCGAGAAGGGTGAATGGGTGTTTTACCCTAAACAACTCCAGACCAGCTGCTGTTTGCCTCTGAGCCCCAGGAACGTGCTGCTCCCTCCCACTGCAGATGTGCTAATGCTGCTAAATCTTGTTCTAACTTTCCTGCTTGTCCCCACCACAGAATTAACAACCAGGACGGCACTGCTGAAATGCTGGTGGAAGCATTAGGTGCCAAGATTGTTAATAGCAGAGATGCCAAAGGAAGGTGAGCGCAGACTCATTCCTCTCCTGTCACCCGCTCCCCAGTGCTGCTGGGTGGTGGCTCTGACTCCCGCAGTGATTTCCACACGACTTCCCAGGGCACAAAGGGACTCTGACGTCCCCAAACGTGTCCATAGGCCTGGGCAGTCTTGCTGGGGTGGGTGCTGTGCCCTCCTCTTTACCCGCTCTCTCGTCTTCCCAGGACACCCCTTCACGCTGCTGCCTTTGCAGACAACATCCATGGTTTACAGCTGCTTCTGCGCCACCAAGCCGAGGTGGACATGACTGACAAGCTGGGGAGGACTCCCCTCATGATGGCTTCTGAGAACGGGCACACTGCAGCAGTCGGTATGTGGCTGGCACCCGCTTTCCCCACTCTGGGGTGCAAACCTCCCTGTGCCTCGTCTGTAACCGGGTCCCGTGGGAGCCGGCCGGTCCCTCTCCTCGTAGGCGCGCTGGGACAGCTGCCCCCTCAGCACACGGCCACTGCCCCACACGGCCGGGCTCCATGCCACTGCTTCTCAACAGCAGCTGTCCCTCCTCGTTTCAGAGTTCCTGCTGTACCAAGCAAAAGCAAATATAACTGTGCTGGATGTCAACAAGAACACAGCTCTTCACCTGGCCTGCAGCAAGGTAGGGAGACAGCCGCTCACAGCCGGGATTGCAGTCACCCTCACCTTCAGCCTTGCCACCTTCATGAGAGGGGTTGGCCACCTACTCCTGCCCCGCCAGAGCAGAGGTGCCCTGGGCTTGCTCTGCCTGCCTGCTAACCTGTCTTGACCCGTACGGATGCTCCTGATTCAGTTTTGAGCAGCTTAGGTTGTAGCACAGACCCCCTCTCTATTTTTCCTGGGGATGCCCTCTCTGAGCTCAATGTGCTTCCTGGGTTGTGGTGGGAGCAGGAGGCTTGTGATCAGCGTGTCCACGCAAAGGAGATGCTGCAGAAGAGATGGAGGGGACAGCAGCTTGTCTTCTCAGGCCCCGCCAAAGTGGTGAACTGTTGTAGAAAGTCGGGTTTAGGGAACGTTTCTGTATCCCGGGGAATCACGTTCCGCTCAGACAGCGCCAGGTCCCCTCCACTGCCCCTGCGTTCCTGCTCGTGCACTATAAACAGTCTGGTCTCCTTTCCAGGGTCATGAAAAGTGTGCCTTGTTGATCCTGGGGGAAACCCAAGACCTTGGCCTTATCAATGCAAGTAACAGTGCTCTGCAAATGTGAGTATTTGGACAGCTGGCACCAGTGGGGAAAAAACTGGAAAAACGGGGCTTTGCTGGGTGGGGGGCGATGCCCTGGCGAAAGGGCGGCGGTAGGAGCTCTGCTCCTGCTTGGTGCGCGCAGTGAGCGTGCGAGCAGGTAAGCTCAGGAACGGTCAAGTGTCTGCCCTCAAAGCCGCTCGCAGGGGCCCCTTGTTTTAGCACAAGGTGTTAAAAGCGGGTGGCTCCGCTGCCGGGTTAACGCTGCCTTTCCCTCTCCCCGAGGCCGCTCCACATCGCAGCTCGGAACGGGCTGGCCTCCGTCGTCCAGGCCCTGCTCAGCAGAGGTGCCACTGTGCTGGCTGTGGATGAAGAAGGTGCGTGTTCCTCGCGGGCGCCCAGGGCGGGTTCGGCGTGACGCCCCTGGGGCGCGGGGGCTGCCTGGGGAAGG